GACGAGCAGGTTTGGCGCTGGCCCTACAATTTCTCGGCTGTCCGATGCTAACATATGTTCCAAAGCGTCTAGTTGTGGTGCCATATCCAGTAGATTGTTGACCATTTCTTCCGTCGACTCAAAGTTACGATGAACCATAGATACCTATCCACATTTCAGAGGCCGCATTCTCTAGTAGTAATAAGGAATTTACATACCCTGCCGATTTGGTCAAAGGTTGCTACTCGGATGGAGGGTTCCTCACATTCCTTTTCGATGGTCATCATCTCGTCTTTGATAGTTTGAACATTTTCTCGAGTACCCAAGAATTTCTTCAAGCCAAGCCTTGTAGCCTGTAGTTGTTCCTGGACTCCATTCTTAAGTCTGGCATCTATCGAGGCCTTCTCTTTTTCCAATTTCTTCCTGAATGCAGATACTTTGACAAGATCATCTGGGGCCTGTAGATATTCTCCAATGGCCTGAGCAGCAGATATGGACCCAGGAGCGGCTGCCATGGTCAGCTGGGTATAAGGAGAGAGGTGTACAAGGCAACTGTGTGATCAACCATCACAGTGTTGTTCTGGTCCTCGGCCCGGCGACTCTGTCTGCTTTATTGTTTAATGTCCTTGAAACCAATATCCATTACATCTTGTTGTCTGGGTTATAAAATATATCGACAACCTCTTTTGACCCATCGAAATCGACTTTTATCTACTCATGCGTCTCCTCATTTGGTAGAGAGTGACATTGTAATAGTCGGAGGTGGGCCTGCTGGTCTTGCCTTGGCCAATGCACTAGGTGAACTTTGTGCCTTTACTGAACACGCAAGACATTAATGAGATTATAGGATCGTCACCTTCTGTTCGCCAAAACGTCAGCATAACTTTGGTTGAAGGTTCAGATTTAAATAAAATCAAGAATTGGGCTCCACCACCAGGCACTTTTTCAAACCGTGTTAGCTCGCTTACTAGCGCTTCTCAGTCCTTTTTAAAAGGTAGGGTACCTTTCTACTGTAAAAAAGCCCTAGTACAATCATTAATTTAAACAACTAGAAACTGGCGCCTGGGGTTTTGTTGACGAAAAGCGCACTTGTGCTATTGATAGACTGAATGTAACGCCGCACTGGCTAGCCTGCGTGAAATTGATATTCATTTGAAACTCTAGGTCTGGGATGGCATATCTGACGCGCGTCTAGAATTCACCGCTGAAGATCTATCACCAGAAACATCAGGATCTGGCATGGCTCGCTTGACTGAAAACCTTAATTTGCAACGGGGCATTCTCCACCATTTGGAGACTATTCCTGACGTACGGATACTGGATAATACGAAAGTAACCTCCATCAGCAGAGATGAAACGGGCCGTGGTGGATGGCCCGTTGTCCATCTTGATAATAATCTAGTTCTGAGAGCAAGACTATTGGTAAGAATTATATCATGTCGTATAGGATCTTCTTCATGCGCATTCATTTTGCAGGTTGGGGCTGACGGATTTAACTCCCCTGTTCGGTCATACGCCGGGATACCTGCTTTCGGATGGGCTTACGATGCTCAGGGAATCGTTGCCACCATGTTCCATCCTCCTCGGGGGGCATACGAAGGTCCAAACACTACAGGGTATCAACGATTCCTGCCCACGGGTCCTATCGCCTTCTTGCCCCTTGCCCCTACCAGGTCGTCCCTTGTGTGGTCGACGAAACCCAATATAGCTGCTGCTCTCCTTGCTTGTGATCCAGCCGTTCTGGCCAGCATGATCAATGCTGCTTTTAGGCTGCCTTACATATCAATAAAATACCTGCATCAACGAATCCTGGAGGCTCATGCAGCTGGCGCCTCCATTACGCCTGAAGAAATTCAACAAGAAATTCGCTGGCGTGAATGCTCTCATGGTATTGACCAGAATTCGGCACATGCGTCGGCATTAGTCAAATCCACTGACCAGCTCGGTATACCCCCAATTGGTTCGGAGTTCTTTCCACCCTTGGTAGCAGAGCTACAACCAGGATCAGCGGCGTCGTTTCCCTTGAGATATAGTCACGCAGAGTCGTACATTGGCGGCAGTCAAGGGGCACGTACGGTCCTTGTAGGCGACGCGGCGCATACAGTTCACCCATTAGCTGGCCAAGGCCTGAATCTAGGTTTGGCCGATGTTGAATGCCTTGCAAGGTGTATCCACACAAGTTTGCTCTCTGGAGGGGACATCGGTGAGTTACCATCTGTCTATCTATCCCCCTTTCTACCAGAATTTATTTCCTTTGACGAAACACTAGGATCATACACAGCTCTTCTGCCGTATGGGCAAGAGAGATATCTCGTAAACCATACTATGATGTCTGCTATTGACAAGCTCCACAAACTATATTCCAATGACATGGAACCAATCGTATGGGCCCGGTCGGTTGGGATTGAAGTATTGAATGAGTTGGATTCCGTGAAGGCAGCCATTATGACAATCGCAGGTGCTCAAACCAATTCTGTTGGAAAAGAAGCGCCGGCCCGGAATTTTGCATGGGATTTCGCTGGGAATGCGGTCCAGACTTTGGCCGGCGCCGGGAAAGCTGTAGAGATCTTGCAAGGAGCTGTGTGGGATGTAGTGAGGTCTTCGATACAAAACCTACCGCCTAGGAAAGGTTGAAGAAATACTGAAATATTATCACGTAACAAAATAATGAACTTGTGTGCAGAATTTCTAGTTTGTGACGTGTCACAAACGCGATCACGTGCGTTTAGTCACACAGCGCGCTTGGCTAATGGCCAGGTCTCCATTCCTTCCACACGGTCCCATTATGTCGCAAACTTCTTTAGACATCCGGACTACTCTATATATTGACGCTCTACAATCCCAATTATTACGTGACCGGTCCCTTGAGGTGAGCATCTGCGTTCAGTCCATCTGTCTCGGTTTATAAGATGATTATATCTAGGGAGCCATTCTGGACATAATACTAGTTAATATTCTTGCAGAACTATCCGACCCGGACGCAATCGCACAGGGCGACTCAAGTCCACCAGCAGACGGTCTCCAAAAATATGCGTGCTTCCAGCAAACCGAGTTATTGATGTTCGGGACGCCAGTTCGTCATCATGTAAGTAGCTACTCCAGATCGCTTCTTTTGTACTCCCCTCGTTATTCTCTAGTTAAATCCGTCCACCCGACAACGTCTGCTTGAAGAAATCAATGATGTTCTCTCTTCGATAACAGAATTTATTCATGGAGGTTCGAAGGAAAACTTATTCTAAAAGTCTATCGAACCCCTTTCTCATGAGTTTATTCACAGCTCAACTTTGTGGATCGGAGGAAAACGATTTATATTGTACCTTGCCTGAAAAAGTTCGAAATTTGAAAGATGGGATTCAATCAAAGCAACAAGAGATAAATCAACGGTCCCAACGGATCCTCGATCAAATGCTTGAAATTTCTCAGGTAAACAAGGAAGTATATCGTACAATCCTGAGCAGATTTATTTTTTTGAATCAGATACGTGAAAAGCTTGAACGCGGACTAAAACAGGCGATATCAACCACCTTTCCAGCATACGATGCCTCGCGCTCTGCTTCCATCGATCTTCTACTGACAACCATCGAAACGGCCTTGATCAAACTATCTCTCATCCGGGCTCGATCTGAACGTGCCCTATACAATCACAAACTAAAAAATGAAACCAACGATTCAAAAACCGTCTCACAAGCCCTCGCACTTGCTTTTAAATCCTTGAAAAAGGAGGAGAGAGAGATGAAGAGTGAAACTCTTTTGCTAGATCAACAATTGCATGAGTATGAAACGCTATTGCAATTGGTGGATGGCGGAAAAAGTACTGGCGGATATCAACAGGTCGTAAACGACTGGACGAAAGTCAAGCAAGAAAGCGACGAGTGCAAAAAGGATCTAAGGCGCCTTGGTTGGACTGGAGACTAATGAGTAAATGGTGCGAAGTTCGACTCTCTCGTTATGTACTTGAACTTCTTTTCGACATGCGTCCTCACAACCACCGCCAATCCGATTCTCAAAACCTTCGAACTGGATTGTAGGGGATGCCACATGGTCACCTCGTTCCTCTCAATCACCATTAATCCAAGTCAAGAAACTCTGACTTCTTGTCAACTTCTTTTGATCATGTCAATGGTCATTAGCTTATCGGCGATCGGGATAAAAACAACGTACCTTCCTTACGGTATACTTTTGTCAAGTTTTGGCTATCATTATCAAGAAATGGAAGCAACGAAAGAAGGTTGTTTATTTTTGACATGTAGTCTCTTTCAAGCACAAGGCTCTTTAATCAGGTAACCAAGTTGATAAGAAACTATGTACTGTATGGAATGGAATCGATTTCCGGTAACTACCATTACATCAAGGACATCGGGACCCGTCAGAGATGTGAATGCGTTTTGAACGTTCAATAGGCGCGCTCACCTTATGGTGCAAGTGGCTAGGTTTATGAATTGTATGTAACTCCCAAGTCCAAGGCTCGCACTGTAAAGAGATGTTGAAACAGTAAAATTATTATTGTCATACACTGGCAGGACTGATTCAGTCAACCTGTGTGTACCCGAGGTTGATGATAGATAGGAATCTCGACTCGTCTTCAAGGAAGATCTAACCTCAAATAATGTTGATGCTAATGCGGTGCCAAGAGACACAGTTCTATGAGGAACTTGGATTACAGCTTGTACTAATTTAATTATTCTCTAAACCGAAACCACTTAAGCCTGAAATCGTCGCAGCTGATTGATGAAAATGGTTTCAAGTAAAAAGGTTACCGGATGCTGCACTTGGCTTACATAATAAATATGCGGCGATAAAAGTCGGCCGGCATGTCGGTGTCTCTGTGCAATATTTTGAAGACTCCTGGCGAGATTCGCATGAGTCCAAAATAATGATGATTTTTCACTAATGATTTTCTCTACAGTAGCAAGGACATATACAATTAGTTTAAGTCTCTCGAAGCATTGAAGCCACAAATTATCATCGATACTATGGATGCCCCAGCCGTTAACAACCTCATGAGCAAAAGAATCTTCGCTTGCATTAAGAGGGAATCGAACCCCCGGCGGGTCGAGACGGTTTAATGGCAACGACCCAGGTTACCACTACCCCATTAATGCTTGTTGGGATGTATGGGCCAAGTATTGAGAACACTGCGCCATGCCAAGATGCCCAGCCATCAAGTGGCAGACGCGCCCAGATTGAACGTATGCCAAATTCATATGGAACGCATCGGTTCCTGGTCCGGTTAACCCGATCTAGTTATTCACGGCGGATCAGAGTGTAGATCTCGATCTGCTGAGTATAAGAGGTGGACTACTTTTGGTTTGCATTGCCTTTGTCCTGCCCACATGTTCGCATCCAACTCTCCCTATTCTCCCTTCTTTACTTCCGGTCTATTGTCTCATTCAATCCTAGATGGAATAAGGAGAGGTAGTCTGCCTACAGACAACTCTAAAGACATCCAACCACCTTTCATATTCTCTCGTCAGCCAGAGTACAGATCTTTTCTCTCTCTCGACTTGGCAGAGTCACAGTCCATGCGTTCAGCTAGCTTCAAACGGAAACCCTCCTCTCCCTTCAATTTTCCGTCAGTACCCCTTTTGCTTCTTTTGTGTAACTGTTGCTTATTCTTCTCCAGGAAAATATCTGAACCGTCTAATACTCTTCGCTTGCGTGTCTCTCGTGACTCTTTGAGGTCTATTCCATCGCCCAAACCAGCTCCCTCAATCACTCTACCAGAGCTGCCAAAACGTACGCCTTCCCCAATATCATCAGTACCTCCCCGTCTCCCCTCTCTGGTCCCCATTCCTGCCCTTGAATTTCCTCTCCCATCTCTTACTATCTCTCGCACCCCCGCCCCACTCACGGTCATTCGCCACATCTCTGTCGCTACAAAGGCTACTTCCTCAACAATCTCTACCCGCGTTCGTAGATCAAACCGCTTAGAAGCCCTTGCTCGCTTAGAAGGCCGTTCTAAAAATGGTCCTATCACGATCCACTCAAAACCCGCTCAACAACGTAACTTCATGAACATGAGCGATGATGAAGACGAAGAAGACAAAGGCGGTGATTTGGATACTCTCGACCTTGGTGACCATACATTCCCAAATCCAATCCTAGAACCTGAGGACGTGGTTCTACCCACCCTTTCGTCTCCGGAAGCTCCTAGATCCTCTCCTCTGCCTCCACGTCCTAATGACCCTTTCCTTGTCACCTCCGTTCGATGCCACAGAACTCAATTATCATCCACCAAAGACTGGTTCCCTCTTAAAAGCTTCATGGACCTCCACAACGATGATGATTCGTCAGCTTGGACCTGGAGGAGTTTTATCCACGTCGCCAACCTCTCTTGATAACCTCGCTCTTCGCTTGCTTGCTTGCTTGCAACGCACACCAAAAAATCCCCTTCCCATTCATCCCCCCCTCTCTTGTGCATATAGTATATTTTGCGGCTAATCTTAATATCTTCCATCCATTCATCCATTGACTGGCTCGTCTCCTCACGCACATGACTTTTCTTGTACCAAGTCTCTTGCAAACAACGTACATGGTTCGTTTCCTCATTGCATTGTATCATCTACCCTTGTTTTCTATTACTATTTTATGACATACCCTTTCATCCATACATTTCACATTTCACTTCATTCTGGAGCAGTACGTTCTGCGAACACAAAAGCTCCCAACCTACATTCGACATGTTACCATACTCTAACAATTTCTTCTTCCTCTTTTCTTTCTTTGCGACAATATTGTCAAGTAATTTAATGTCCAACCAACCACCACTTTCCCTTGTAACATCCAACATACAATGTCCCTTTGCCTTCGTGTTGATCATGATGAGTACATAAATCCACCTACAAGTACAATAGAAATTTCTTATTGTTGTTCTTCGTTGCCAAGTTCTCATTTCCCTTGTATATCCGCTCATCACGAAACGAAACGTAACTTTGTTACATAGCCGGGAGACAGCGAGAGACCCTTTGTTATCATCGTGATCATCTCGGGCGTGTCGTCGAGTTAGAGCCTTCTATGTAAATTGCTCTCATCTAGCAAGATCACTCAAACAAACGGCTAATCAACCGATAACAATAACAGTTTTTGCAACATCAAATAATACGTATATCATGCATTGATGAATGCAATGAATGATGGTAGATAATTCCTATAGTTATTCGGATCTAAAAGACATCCACTCACAACTCCAGTGTGCGGCTTTAGTCTTAGTAGGAGTACCACTTCATTAAATATAATTCAAGCTATTTATGCACAAGTCCAGAGTGAGCATCAACGTCACATGCAAGCCGTCATTATTCCGATAGTTATAATTAGATAACCGATCTATTTTTTTTCCCCTTTATGTAAAGTTTAACAGTTTCATGTTTGCGCTGGCCATGACTCGGATAGACGTACACGTGTAGAATGATTGTAATGTCAGGTTGTACCGTCGTGGGATCAAGTTGGACTTTGCGTCACGGTTCGCCTCTGTAGCCGATTTCTCCTTGTCGCAATGTGCAGAAAAAAGTTTGAACCGCCCCCGCATGGTTTTTGGAGAAACGGCTTAGTACCGGTACAGGATATATGGTACGTAATAGTTAATGACTTATCCTAATATGGTGTCAGTGAAAAGTTCCTAGAATCTAAAAATAACAAGAAAAATACAACAGGTGAAGCCTCGTTTTTTTTCCTTTTCCGAACCAAAAAAAAAAAACAACAGTTTCATCTTTGCGCTGGCCTTCCTCGGAAGTAGTATTTAGCACTTCACGCATTGGCAGCCCTGGGGGGTGCACACGATTGACGTGTCTCTTCAGAATAAGAGTCAAGCTGAGTCGGGTTACTGTGCAATGTGTGACTTTTTTGTAAAAAAAAAACGGATCTATTACCCAGCCAAACATTGGAGGAGCCGGACGTTCCAAGTTTTCCCCCTTTGCATATTGGCAAGGGATCTACACAGTAGAAATATTTACACATGCCCTAAATGGTTATAACAGCTGGTTACCCGAATGGTCCTAACTCCCAACTATAGGTCAAGTTCTGTAGGACCCCGGGCAATGGTAGGTAGGTGATGCCATTGGTTTTTCCAGAAATTTTGAAAAAAACCGGGGCAAAATCCGGACAAAATCGAGGGCATCTATCCGGACAGAAATTCCGTCTCAGTATCTAGCCAGGTCCACAGTCCGGACATATATCAGTCATACCGGTTCAGCGCCGTTTGTCGAGACCAGAGAGTTGGTGTTCGAGTCCTCTCAATACATTTTTATTTTCATGTGTGGGATTTGTATGCTATTTTATTTCAACTCTCGCTTGCAGATTTGAATAGATTTCGCACCCTACAAAAGGTTGACAAGTACTCATTCAAGCTCTCAAAGAAGCAAGGCAGAAATTCTGACAATAACAGTGAAGATTAGAGTGCTATTAGATACCAATTCAAACGAAGCTGCCTGTCTATTGTAGCTATTGCTTTTTGGTGTTGTCTAGATACCTTATATGCATCCCTGCCTCGTCTGTGGTGATTTTGACAAATTTTGGCGAAAAGTAGGCTAGATACTGAGATCCGGACAAAAGTTTGGAGGCCAGGCGCAATCCGGACAAAAAGACGTAACCTCTGTCCGGACGAAAGGTGCCTTTCCGGGAACAGGCCTCGCCTACCATTGCCCGGGGTCCTAGTTCTGTGTGCCTAGCGACTGACACCAAGATAAATTAGTGTGCGAAAAGAAACCACATAATTATAACAATGAAAAGTCGTTTCTCACATTAACTTCGAACCTCTCCGAATCATACGATAATTACGGTAGAGTCTCAGGAGGTCTCAGGCTGCCACTGCAAGCGACAAGTATCGAGGCTCGACTCGGACCCACTAAATAGTCCATTAAGACATTTGTTATCACAACCCTGAAGATCGACGCCAAGGCGTTGAATATATCCCGTGCTTCTGTCCTGACTCCTCCCCTGAAACATTCAACATTAATACTAATGACTAGCACACAATTTCATGGAAACTTAACTTCAGAATAACAATTATCTCACCTAATCCGTGGCCTCGTGCTTGTAGTATCGATATCGGACATCGTTGTAGTTACGTGAACCTTCTTGCCGTCGCAAAAAAAAAGACCACGCGAGAATAGGATGGAAGACCTGCCACTGCCAATGAGAAGACTTTAAACGATTTGGTTATCAAACACACTAGTAAAGGCATGAAACCTCAAGTTACACCACTTATCTCCGAGTTTTGAACTTGCATATGGATTAACTCCTGTACTGATCTCTTCCACGGATTACAAGCCGGCAGACGACATCGAGAGCGAGCGTATCAATCAATTGATCAATTGAAACACATCTCAAACTACCTCAAGGCTAAATACGCAGGCAATACTTGTGAAAAAACACACGCACTCAGCACCCTTCCAAGGGGTATCTGCCAATGAGAGAAAACAAAAAAACGTGCAGTGCCAATATGATACATGAATCGCACACGGTCGCACGAAGCCCAAAAACAGCCAAAAGCCTGCGTGGAATTAAGGACCACGCATGCCTTTCTAACTCCGAATCAGTTGAAGAGGGAAAGCAAACTCCTTGTCATCGTTAGAATGTTTTGGATTTGGATCTGAGGTACGAGTAGAACTTAAGGCCCTTGTTCATGTTATGAACGTCAAGCTAGAAGGCTAGTGGAACCCAAGCAGGGAGAAAATGTCTAAGAAACGCCACGTTCAGAATCACCCTGCAAGTTTCGATGCCTAACAACCGTGTTCAACTCACATAAGGATCTAAAGATATCTAACCGTCCAACCTTCCAACCTCTGGCCGGGCTGAGCAGATACATCTTGTCGGGCAAATGAGACTTATATCCTCAACGATTTCGAACTTCAGTCAATTCGAAAGACATTCAATACTATATATATCTGACGAAAACTGACATTCTTGTGTATTCTGTTGAACTTAAATTCTGAGGCTAATTTCAAGTTAGCCTGCGAGTTGTCGCTCAGCGCTCAGCCTTCATTGCCTAATTGTAGTATCCATGGATGACAAGAATTTTTGGGTGGGATCACTACATATTTGAGTATTGAAACGATTGTGAACCGTATACGGAAAACTGGATCGCAGAGGTTGGATAGAGATAAAT